ATATATATATATGTTTCTGCAATTTCCCTTCAAAGACCCTGAATTTCATCTACATGTGGGAGGACTTATGAACCCTATCCCAGGTAGAGTAGCCATATATTTGTTTAAAAAGGATAACTCTTTAGAATTAACAATAAAGCAAAGTCCTGTTTGAACCAACTAATCTCTTTTTGCCTATTTGTTGACACATTTTGTTGCTGTCTGTGGTTCAGATTGTCAGTTTGAGCTTGTGGGGTTTGACGGCCTGATCCGTTCCAGTCAAGTAGAAGAGGATCACAAAGTGAAGCCAGACCAGGCAGTGGACTGCATTTGGACCATACAGGCTCCAGCAAGGAACAGAGTATGCTGTGCAACACGTTCATCTTATTTGTTAATTAGGTCATTGTATTTCCCTCATTGTCAGTGTTCGTGTTAACGAGCTGAATATGTAATCAAAAGGACGTAGAGGAGTAGTGGCAGAAGTTAGGAGCATGTAAAACTAAGTTTAGGAACAAATTATGCGAATGACATGAAAGAAACACAACATTTCTCATTGTGTATTTTCTAGTTTACTCTTGATGTTATGAATTATTTGTTAAATATAATTAAACAGGCAAAACTTTGAGGTTTTAGTTTATATCCCAACAACCAAAAGGTTCCTTACATTAACATTTCTCAAAAGTACATTTATGTCCTGAGGCCCACCAAAGTTCAGTCAGGTCCTCTGGATGGTTTCTTTTTTGTTGAAACGATTCATCTTTCATCCAAAGGACTTCATCAGTCTGGTGAGCCACAACAACCTCAGTCCCACAAACAGCACACTCACATAGTGGACCAACCAGTTTGCTGGTGATAAGATGGTTTCTGGAGTCCGCCCTCTCCCCTGTTGACTCCTCTGAGGCAGTCATGGCCAAAGTGCTTCAAAACATCAATGTTTATCATAGTTGTGGCTACTCAGACTGATGAAGTCCTTTGGATGAAAGACGAAACATTTCAACAAGAAAAGAAACTGTCCAGAGGACCTGACTTAACTTTGTTGGATTTTTACCTGGATTATTGAGCATGAACTTTGATATGTCTTGAGACATAATGTGTGCACGAACATTGGTATTCCAACAGACAACAGAAGTCATATGGGGGTTTGTCTTCCTTGTTCCAGATTTACCTGAAGTTCTTGGAATACCAGATGGAACACTCTAATGAATGTAAGAAGAACTTTGTGGCTGTTTATGATGGCAGTAGTGCCATTGAGGACCTGAAGGTAATAAGCTGTCTAAAAATATGTTAGAACAAACTCTCTCCTCAAACGTGAAGGGTCGCTGTTTAGCTCGTTGTTTTTTCATTGGTTCTTAATTATGGGTTTCTTCCTTTGCTGCATAACGATTTCTCTTTTTTTTCCTTTTATTGTCACAAGTGTTTCAATTTAATATCATATTTGAAAAATAAAGCAGCTGGCCTAGAGACCCTGACCTCAATGAAACCACACATAACACAGCTGTCAGAAGAAAAAAAAAACCTGGTGTGTGGTTTCTTGCAGGCCAAGTTTTGTAGTACAGTTGCTAATGATATCATGCTGGACACCGGTTTCGGGGTAGTGAGGATGTGGGCTGATGAGACGAGCCGTCTCAGTCGTTTCCGGATGCTGTATACTATTTTCACCGACCGTGAGTGTCTCCTTCAGATTATTTCTTTTCTCTTTCACTTTAACTCTCTCCGTTCAGTTTGTGCTCTAGCTCTGAGAAATTTAATATGAGGTTTAGTAGTGTGATTGCACATAGACGTGTGATGGCACACTCATATGGCTACTTTTCATTATTCCACCTTAGAGTGAAGCATTAATATCTATCCTATAAAACTTGACTTGTTTAGTAGTTTAATACGTTTTTCTGCTCATGACTTCAATTGCTGCACTTGCTTGTCTGCATACCTGCCATACAGTACACTGTGTCTGTGTTTTAGCACCCTGTATAGGCAACGCATTCTTTTGCCACAGCAACATGTGCATCAACAATTCTCTGGTATGCAATGGCATTCAAAACTGTGTCTTCCCTTGGGATGAAAGCAACTGCCAAGGTACCCCAGGTCTGCTACAACCCTGGCAGAAACATTCTTTTGTTGATCTGCCTTGCTGAATTACAATAAGTTGTGTTGTGCTGTGCAGTACTGTGTGTGCCATGTTTGTGTCTAATGTGCCAATCTGACTCTAATTTTGTCAAGTGTTTACAGCAAATACAACAGTTTTATAAAATGTTTTACTTAAAAGTACAAAAGTATGAATTGTTGTTAACATTAAGACTTTTTTTTGTCTTATTAATGTTGGGATTTACTTTGTATAGATGAATAAAATGTCCTGAATGAGGTGGCAACAAGTCAAATGCTGGTGCTTTACATCCCCATATAATGCATTTTAAACATTATTTTTTTCTTCACTTACAAAATTTAGACACAAAGCCCAAAGCTGCTTTTCTCCAAATCACAAAGACTCAGGCAACAATATTCTGTGTGTCCACGGGGGTGGTCCTGCTGCTCTTCATTTTCTCTATTATGGTGCAAGTCAAACAGCCACGTAAAAAGGTAACTAAAATGGGTTGATAGCGAGCAGTTCATGCCACATATTGATGTTTAAATTGATCATTTCTCAAACTGTGTGTAAAGGTGGTGATACGTAAGAACAAGCTGTTTCGGCGCGCTGACCTGCAGAAGGTGTTTGATTCGCAGCACTACGAGCTCTTCAATCGCAGAGACAAGGTTGATCTAATTACTTTGATACTTTATAATCTATTGGTGATTTTTGCACTTTTACAATACTAATAAAAACAACTATATTTTATCTTTTTTTTTTCATTTTTAGGATATGTCTGGGAACCTCAGGGAGCTGTCAGATGAACTCTTATCCATGCAGGCTCTCAGGAGATTGTCGTCAGGATCTCGGTGCATTCATGAACACCACTGTGGCTCCCAGGCCTCCATCAACTCCATCAAAGCTGGTCACAGTGGATATGTCTTGGGCAAAGGATCTATTGAGCTCCCACCTTTTAAAGGGGACAACCAAATCACCGTACCTCCTTTTAGAGACTTTGACAGCAGTTTGCGGAAGAAGAGCTGGCCCAGCATGAGACAAAGCCGAATGCAGAGCCACCCGGGAATGGGGGATCGGATGCTGTGGCGGCAAGACAGAGTTATGGAACAGGATGAGGAAGAGGAAGAGGGGAGGTATGATTTGTATGTGCGAAGAGTGGGACACCAAAGAGGCAAATGTGAAATGGCTCAGCGAAGAACTTTGTCCATGGACCTTTGAAAAGAACAAAGCTTGGCACAGTAAAAACTGTTTGGAGTTTGAACTGTGCTAACATTCTTAAGTGACACGTAAATGGAAACTCACTGTCATTTGCCACTTTTTTATTTGCCTTCTTCTCAGTAACGTTGAAAAATGCCGGGTTTTGTTGAAGGGCATCGCTTCGAGAGCTGCTAAATCCTCTTGGACTCTCGAACAGCTGCAGGGAAGCTGTTCTCAAATTTGTGATAAAAGCATAGAGATGACTACATATCATTACGCTTTGTTGTATTTTGTGAAATACATTTCAGCATGAAGCAAGTAGATTTACCGAATATGAATTGGTGTTTAAGTTCTAAGACAAATCAGTGAAGTGTGAATTCAGTAAAAACGTTACCTCATTTTGTTTTGATTCATTAATGCGTGTATTAAGAAAAATAAATGGATAACACAGTACATGTGTCGGTTTGAGAGATGTCTCAGCTCACACATGATTTAGAGCCAGTTTCCAGAAGGATAGAGAGGATTGACGTGTTTTTTTAACGGGTGTGTCTTACAAGAACGCCATCTGGAATTTCCCTCATGAAGTTTATTGTAATAAGATGGTGTTACATAAACTGTTGGCAAGTCCACCTTTAAAAAACATTACCAACTTTCATTTTATATCCGACTGAAAACCCCTTGTTCTACCACACCGACATGACAACTGTGAGAAAACCAACAGACTTTGTTGCATAGATAAATTAGAGTGCAATATTTAAAGAAAATGGTCATGACATATCCTATAATAAGTTCAGACTGCAATTAATCCTGGTCAGTTTTGAACATGCAGAATCTTTTTGACATCTTGCTCCTTACTGGTAGTGTGATCGTGAGAGCTGTTCCTGTGTTGCCTTGTTTTAAATTCAACCTCCTGTTACCCCGGAGGTGCAACGCTGACAGACCGTATTCAGAATGCCTCGACGGTTTGTCAGCCAGTCCAAGTATGTTCGGTTCATTTATCACATTCAACAAACTCAGTGGGTGAATAAATATTAGAGCAACTATGCATGCTAGCAGCAAACACACTCACAGGCATTTTTAATGATTTATGAGACACTTTTAATATGCAGTCTTTGTATTTCTTCCAGCGACAGAGTATCTGTGACACATTACATAAGAGATGGCCTACATTAAACAGGAAATTAGGCCAGTGGGTAAGAAACACAGAATGCACAGCTTTTATCTCCACAAAATAACTTAACAATAGATAAAAACTCAGCTTCCAAGGTGCTACTTAATCTTGATTAAAAAGCATTCAACTCAGTTTATTAGGACGATCTGCAGTGGCAAACTGGAGAAAAATGAACCAACTATAGGTTTAGTTTTGGGCCTGAGTGACCTTTAATGCCATATATGGTGTTGCCTTCTTGGAAGAAATTGATAAATAGGAAGTGTTTAATCAAACATTAAGGTAGATGACTCAGAATCGTTCTGGAATTATTTGTGTTTGGCCAAACAATACTGTACACGCAAATGTTCACGGAAATGTCTCACATCCCAGCAGAACCATTAGAGCAACCAATTAAACGTACTGTAATTGACTCTTGAATGAGGTCAGCCTGTTTCATACCCGTGAACATAAAACAACAGGACAAAAACGTTGTGGTTGTAGGCATTAGTGGGGTAATCACAAGGCTTAGATAAGTCAAAGGTATAAATCCTTTCCCAAACACTTCTCTTTTGTAAAATATTTATTTTGGGTAAATGACGTGATGCCGTAAAATGATGTTTCACGCAAGCAAAACAATCAAAGCTACATTTAAACTGGTGCTAGATACTGAAACAACTAGCTTAAATTATGACCTTTGGTTCATCTTTGCCAAATGTTGATTGCCCATGTGTGTTTATTACAAATTAACCTGGTTTACAAGGTGGACTATGGTTCCTCAGATATTGATCAAACCCAAAGTGGGCCAGTTTTATGTCATCCATTTTAACAGCAGTGAAACAAATGAGGCTCATACTGAAGCCAACATGAGCTTTATATCCATGCCATGCAGTAACCAGCATAAAACAACTCAGTCACCAAAAGATTATGTCACCATTTGACTTTTCATTAAAAATAAAACTATGTGACCCACATTTATTGGGGCTAAGTTCTGGATCACATGCCTTAGCGTCTACTAATGTAGTTTCACTCTGCCCACGCTCAAAGATTCTCACGTTTTTAATTACCGATAGCTGGAACATTTGGGTTTACCAGTTAAAAATACCTGTTTAGGTTTATAAACAGCTCACACAATTAGGCTTAGATGTTATAGAAAACACGGTTAGGTTTAGATATATAGACTTGAGTAGGAATTACATAATTTTTTACTTGGAACAGTAATGAATAGTGACCTTGTTATTTTTAATTCTGGACTAACCAGTCTAGTTCCCTTTGTGAGACATGATTCATGCCAACATATCAGGCATGCTTTATGTGTGACCTCAGCTACATAAACACTTTTTTTTTTGGTTAGATATGCTTATGTATGTGGTTGCACGCAAACATGACAAAGCAGATAGCATGTTCCTTCTTTTGTGCGATAACTCAGCATTCCTCATTGCACCTATGGATTCCACACACTGAACTCTTTATACAATAAATGGTGACAGGTGCTCCTTAAGTAAAATAAAACCAAGAGCAAATAATGGGATCATGGCAGCATTTACATCATCTTTATTTAAGCAAAAAGAACTGAAGGACAGTCGCACATGAAGTCAGTAAAACTGAGCAGAGAAGCCCATTAATGATTAAAAAGAATAAATATAAAATTCCAAACAGCTGTACAACATCATTGGCAAGATACTTCAAGTATTTAAGACATAGTCAGTACTTTAATATCTAACATATTTTAGAAAACTGTACAAAATGAATATTTTAAAATAAAATCTATAAGTTCATATTTTTTCAGAACTTGTTTGCTCATATTACAAAAAATGTTACTTATATACATTTTTTTTTTTTTTTTTTTATTATAAAATCCACAGCGGCTGCAATAAAAGAACATATACTTTCTTGCATGTCTTCAAAATCTTTGAGTTTTCTTTTTAATTTGTCCAAATTAGTCCCGCTCGTGTTTCAATTTTTGCTGTCATGAAGTCATGAAGCGTGCGGTTCGTCATAGTAAATCCAGTGCAGGGTGTTGCAGCACAAGGACGGAGCTCATAGCATCAGATTCTGAACGATTCATCAAAGAAAGCCAGCTGGCTGTGTCCCACCAGGGCTGTGGTCTCCCCGAGAACGGCCTCTGTAAAGTTGGGCCGTTTCCAGGCGTAAACCATGCTGTTCAGAAAGCCTTGAAGGGACACCATGGCAGCCTGAAACAAACACAAGCAACACAGTGAGGAGCAACGTCTTATTTTATTTAAAAAACAGCATTATACTTTTGTTACCAACCTGAAAGACATAAAGACCAAATATGTGGCGCTGTTCAACTTTTGATGATATCACCGGTATAGACAGCAGAATGACAACGAGAACTACAAGATAAAAGTGTATAAATTGATAAAACATCAACCACATACTAGTTTACAGCTAATCAGAAGTTTTGAAATACCTGGTGTCCAGCAGAGGAAGATGACCATCACCATATTCCGCGCTGTAGAAAACAATCGTTTAAATCGCCTCCTTGAAAGCCCGTCTCCCTCTACAGGAAAGAACCCGTCATGGATGCGTGTTTCATACCACTTTCCCACCTTATAGTAAATAAACTGAAACAAAAATAAATGATTAGGGCCTGCCTACAGAGATAGTGAAGATGTTTGAACAGTGGTTCTTTTGAAAGATTATGAAAAAAAAAAACATCTTACCTGTTATAGACATAGCTTTTTGAAACATGTTAGTTTGGAGAAAGAGTTTCTGTCAGTCTTGAAGGGCTCAAGACAAAAGTGGATTTCTGTCATCTTAGAACAACTCTAGTCTCGACTTGTCTTAGCATTTTATTATAACAATATTTAAAAAATCTTTGCGTTGCTGTCAGTTTCACATTATACAACTCTTTACATATGATTCTATGGTTATTTGTAAGCAATAGCTTGCTGTCACACTTATGTTGCAGCCTGTAGCACTTTTCCAAACATTGTGATATTTTTGCCAAGAATAATTGTGTATTGTGAGATAGACAGCCGTGTAAAGTGTTATAGACTATTGTTTGCATGGATGACTACAAAATCTTTTAGACTGGCTTTTTTTCTTTTAGGATAACAGCAATCCACTTAAGTTTTGGCTTCAAACTGGCATGTAAATCTAGTCAGAATTACACTCTATTTCTCCAAACAGATTGTTCAATAGGCTGTCTACAGCACAGAAGATATTGATTGTTCATAATCTTTCCACCAAGCCCCACTTCAGAAGATCCAAATTATTCAGTTAAACTCAAGCTATAATAGTACAAACTCTACATGGATGATTTCTTCTTCTCTTCCATCTCACTCCGTCCTCTGCATCCTCTGTCCTCACTCCAACTACCTCCATGTCCTCTCTAACTGCATCCATATATATGTCCTCTTTGACCTTCCTCTTCGTCTTTTTCCTAGCAGCTGCATTTTCTAACATCCTTCTACCATTATACTGACCCCCCTCTGGACATGTCCAAATCATCTCAGTCTGGCTTCTCTTTATCTCCCAGTTGTTCAACCTGTGCTGTACCTCTGATGATCTCATTCCTAATCTTATCCATCCTTGTCACTCCTAAGGAGAACCTCAACATCTTAATTTCTGACACTTCCAGTTATTTCTCTGTCTTTTTGTCAATGTCACTGTCTCCAGACCATACAATAATAGCTGGTCTCACCACTAGTCTTTAAACTTTTCCCTTGACCTTTGCTGACAACCTTTTGTCACAAATCACTCCTGAAACTTTTCTCCATCCATTCCATCCTGCCTGGACTCTCTTTTTGAACTATTTGCCACACTCCCTATTTTCCTGGATGGTGGACTCCAAGTACTTGAAGTCCTGCACTTTTGTGACCTCTGCTCCTTGTAGCCTCACTGTTCCACTGGTCTCCCTCTCATTCACACACATGTACTCTGTCTATAGCTGACTTTCATTCCTATTCTTTCATGTGCATATCTCCGCCTCTCCAAGTTCTCTTCCACCTGTTCCCTGTTCTCATTACATATCACAATGCCATCTGTATACATCATAGTCCACGGGGATTCCTACCTGACATCATCTGTTAGTCGGTCTATCACCAGAGCAAACAAGAAGGGGCTCAGAGCAGATACTTGATGCAATCCCACCTCCACCTTGAAGCTATCTGTCACTCCTGTAGCACATCTCACCACTGTCCTGCTGTCATCATGTCCTGCACCAGTCTAACATACTTCTCTGCCACTCCAAATTTCCTCATGCAATACCACACCTCCTCCCTTGGCACCCTGTCATATGCTTTTTCTAAATCCACAAAGACATAATGGAGTTCTTTCTGTCCTTCTCTTTCTCAAAGCAAAGATGGCATCTGTGGTGCTCTTTCTTGGCATGAAACCATACTGCTGCTCAATACTGATGCTGCTCAGTCACCTCTAGTCTAAGTCTAGCTTCCACAACTCTCTTCCAGGTCTTCATCATGTGGCTCATCAACTTAATTCCTCTGTAGTTGCTACAACTCTGTACATCGCCCTTGTTCTTAAAAATGGGCACCAGCACACTTCTTCTCCATTCCTCAGCCTGTTTCTCACTCTCAAATATGCCATTGAATATTTGGGTCAAAAACCTCACTGCCATCTCTCCAAGACATTTCCAAACCTCCACTGGTATGTCATCAGGTCCTACTGCCTTCCCCTTCTTCATTCTTTTTAGAGCTTTCCGAACTTCACCCTCACTAATCTTTCCCACTTCCTGGTCCACAGTTTCTATGACCTCTACTCTTTTTTCTCTTTCATTCTCTTCATTCATTTGCTCCTCCAAGTACTCTATTTTCCCGTGACACTCCTCACTTGTTAGAACATTCCCATAACAAGCCTAACCTGCTGCACATCCTTTCCAGCCTGATCCCTCTGTCTTGCCAATCTGTACAAGTCCTTCTCACCCTCTTTAGTGTCCAGCCTCCCATACAATTCATTATACGCCTTCTGCTTTGCCTTAGTTACCTCACTCTTTGCTCTACGTCACATATCCTTATATTCCTGTCTCATCTCTTCAGTCCTCTCACTGTCGTATTTCTTCTTGGCTAATCTCTTTATTTGAATGGCATCCTGCACAACACTATTCCACCACTAGGTTTCCTAATTATCCATTCTCTGTCCATATGACACACCAAATACCTTCCTACCTGTCTCTCTAATTACTGTTACAGTAGTAGCCCATTTGGACGTTCTTTCTTGACACACTGAGCCTTTAACAGTTCATCTCTGAATTTTTCACATTTTTATTTTCTCAGCTTCCACCATTTGGTCTTCTTCTCCAATTTGACTATTTTTCTCTTCTTCACAACAACAGTCATTCTACACACAACCATCTGATGCTGTCTGGCCACTCTCTCCCCTGCCACAACCTTACAGTCTCCAATCTCCCTCAGGTTTCCTCTTCTACACAGAATGTAGTCGACCTGCGTAGTCCTTCCTCCACTCTTGTAGGTCACTCCATGTTCCTTCCTCTTTTCGAAATAGGTGTTGACTACAGCCATTTCCAGTCTCTTGGCAAAATCCACCACCTTCTGTCCTTCCTGGTTTCTTTCCTTGACACCAAACCTACCCATCACTTCCTCATCCCCTCAGTTTCCTTCACCAACATGTCCATTCAGGTCTGCTCTGATCACCACTCTCTCCTCCCTGGGAATACTCTCCATCACTTCATCCAGATCCTTCCTAAATGTATCTTTCTCCTCCCCATCACATCCAACTTGTGGAGCATAACCACTGACACTGTTTAGCATTAGACCTTTTACTTCTATCTTCAGACACCTCTACCACCCCTACTCCATTTATTTTTCTATCCACACCATGGTGAAACAGTTTGAACCCTGCTCCAGTGCTGTGAGCCTTTCTGCCCTTCCACTTGACCTCTTGGACACATAAAACATCTACCTTCCTTCTCTGCATCATGTCAGCCAGCTCTCTACCTTTGCCTGACATTTAGAGTTGCAACCCTCAGTCCTACATTCTTGGTTTTCCTCTTCTCCCTCTGTCTCTTGATATATTTCCCTCCTCGTGGTCTTCAACTAACAGTAGCGCAATTTCTACCGGCACCCTATTTATTAGCAGCACTGATGGTGGTCATTGTTAACCCGGGCCTCGACCGATCTGGTATGGTTTTGCTTTGATGAACTCGCATTATGGTTTTGGCAAAAGTGTTTTACATCAGATGCTCTTCCTGACACAACTCTCACCATTTACCCAGGCTTGGGACGGGCATCATTTACACACTGGCTTGTGCTCCCTAGTGGCTGGTTTCTACATGGATGATTATTCATTAATATTCATGTTCCAAAAATTACTGTTATTGACTCACCGAGCAGGATATCATCACTGATATCAACACAATGAAAAGAACAATTCCGATGATATATTCATGGGAATAATTCGATCCCTATAAAGAAAAGGACAATATTGTTAACAAGAATGAGTAGTCCCTTGTTGATAAGACATGATTTTCATGTAAAATCTAAAATGTAGAAATTAAAGTGTGTAAAATCAATTAAATGGCAGGTATAAAAAAAAAAACCAATGCAAGTGCACAAAAGGAGTCCTGATACTCACATCATCTCTCTCATTAACTGAGAAATGCCCCCAGAGATCCAAAAACAAAATACAGCTGCAAAAGATAAAAAGTTGTTTTTGTTGGGTTTTTTTTTACTTTTTGAAATGCAGAGGTTTTAATAAATTTAACTGCTCAGATTGCTCACTTGTTGCAGTTTGTGGTACTGTTCTGGGTGGTTTTGTTTGCTGCTTTGTTCCTCAAAGGAATCAAGCTCGTAGTATTTTCCGAAAAAATGATCACATACACCAAGTAAACTGCGAGCGGAATTAACCTTAAATATTGGAGATGGAGAAAGAAAATTCATTTATAGACACTGTGAAAATTTTAATGGTTGCTTAGTTAAATAAATTTACAGTATTTAAACATATTTAACCGACTTACCACACAAGGGTGTATAAAGGTGTCTCTACAAATCGTTTTTTGCATTGATTCTGTAAAACAAGATAAAAAGAAAGAAGCACTGAATAACTGATGCATCACTTTCTGAACAAATAATAAAACTATAAGCCTCACCAGTATGTCCTCATCATCTGGAGACCTTTCCCTCCATCCCTGAATGGCCTTTCTTGACTTCCAGGCATAAACAACCACCAACAGGAATGAAATGAAATAAAATGTCTGGAATGGAAGGCACAGATATGCAAAGACATATTTACATTTGGATCACTGAGGTGAACAGTCTGAACAGCTGAGGAGTTCAGTGAGTTTAGACAGTTTTCAAAATGAGGTCATTCTTTATGACTTTATACAAGAACATTTTTACTGTTTTGAGTAGATAAGGTCTTATTAAACAAATTTACTTGGACCTTTGTCATCATTTTGATCAAAGAAGTGTTTTTCTAATAAAAATGAATTTGATGAAATCACATCTTCAGTACTTTTACAGTGTTTTGTCTGTGGGGTGTACAGTAGGCAACGAGTGAAGTCCGCATGACGTGCTTCATCATTTGTTTGCTTTAAAGCCTTAAAAGCTTTGTGGCACATTGAAGACCTGAAGCTCAGCAGGCAATAAAAACAAGCTGTGCCCACAGTCATATGATACCATTTAAACAATGATCTCAGAGACAAACACTCCTGAGTTTCAATATCTCCAAAAGCATCCTTTTTTTTAAAAAAGTTTTAAATGTTAAAATAAAATACAACTTTCCTTGAGAGATTAAAGGGCAGTATTTTCTAAAAGCTTACATCAAACAGTACAGATGGATTAAGGTGAGATATGCAATTTGTTTAGTTCCAAGAGGAGAAAAAAAGTTGCATTGATTTAAATTTTCAGTGCTTGAGGTTGGATCATGTTTTAGCATGTACAACTTTTTTTTTTGAACAGTAACTATTTTTTCACATATAAGGAGCAGAAAAGTTGAACATTTTCTACTATTGAGATAAAATAATGTTGGGTTTGAGCTGGTGTCATGTTCAGACCAGACAATTCCAATATGTACACTAAGTGTTTTTATAATTGCACTGTAAAAATAAAAAAAAATCTGTATTTTTACCAAATAACAACTGGCAGCTGCGGTTGCCAGATAAATTCTGTTAAAAAAATACAGTAGTCCCTCGTTTATCGTGGGGATTTCTGTTCTCATTTTATCCACGAGAAGTGAAAAAACGCAAAGTTGGAATAGTATTACAAGTAGTTATATAAATATATATATATAGAGTCCGTGAAAGTCGAACCGCGGAGTAGCGAGAGACTACTGTGAACATGTAAATAGTTTTACAGAGTAAGCCGTAAATTCAGCAGTTTTACTAAGTAAAATTTACATGTTATTTTGTAAGCATGAACACATTTTCACTGTACTTATTACCAGTCTTTTATGTAAAAATACATAAAAATAAATACATTTTACAGAATAATTTATTGATAAGTACATTTAAAACGTAAATTCAACATTTTTATCAACTACAAATGCCAACATTTTCACTGGAATTTGAACAATTTTTTTACGCTAATTCATCAATTAAAAAGTGTTACATTTACTTGTTTTTAATGCACCTATAATTTACAGTAATACAATGTATTTACTATAGTGATGTACTGTTTTGGATTGCCATTTGACTGTTTTTCAATGTAATTTTTACATACTTTTTTTTTACAGTGTATTATTTTTTTTATTATTTTTTTTTTAAGCTAAGTTATATTTTTATAACTGCATGCTGAAATAAATTCACCATCTGAACAGGATCCATGATGACGTCAAAAACTTAAATTAAGAATTAGGTGAGAAGAAGTTACGTTGTTGACGTTGGGCAACATTCCATTCATTGCTGTAAGTGATCACAGCCAAACTCTTATATAACTCCAGGAAACTGGAGCTTGAAACGTTCAGAGTTTGAATTTTGTTTTTAAAGACATTTTAACTGAAAAGTCTAAGAGAATTTTAACATAAATCATTCAGCGTTTTCTCACAGTCTGGAGAAAAACGTGTCCTGAAGCCATCGTAAAGGGCTCATGATTTGATTTATAGATGGAATAAAATGAACACACGTTTTTTTCTTACGAGTTTTCATGTCTCAGAGTGACTCAGGGACTATACTACAGTAACATAAAATGACAAAAATATTAATCATTAACCCCTATATTTCAGATTTTTGAGGTGGTAGCAAAAAGGAGAAAAAAAAAACACCTTTCTTCTTTGCTTTATTTCTTTAACTCGGTTTAATAAAACTCCACACAGAACCACAGTTCTGTAAATGATTTATATGTGGGAGAAAGAGCTTCATTCCAAGGAAATATAGTTTCTTACCAGTGAAAGTGGCAGGCTGTAATGGCACATGAGTGCAAGTTTAACGTTGCTGTTAAATTTATTTGTGACAGCGGTGAACATTAGGATGGCAGCCGCCAGGAGGTCCGCCAGAGTGAGCTGCACCAGGAGGTGGACCTGGAAACAGATGGACAAGAAAGATGTTGCCTTGGTACAAAACTGAGGTGTGCAAATTAAACAAGGTCATTAACATCTGGACTCACCTGATCTCTTAGATGTCTCCATTTGACTATGGAAACAACCAGGACTGAAAAACTTCCAACCAAACTGCAAAAAAAAGAAAAAAAAAAAAAAAAACTTGTGTAAATTAGATTGAGAAAAGTTTGAAAATAGGTTTTAAGTAGAAAATAGCATCAAAAATCATTCATAAAGATGTACTAAACTAAAACTTGTGCAATGTCCATTAAGATAAAAGCTTTTAGAAACCAAATTAAATTAACATCTTGCACATTACAATAGCTGATTTAATAGTGAGTTTCATAAATAAAAAATAAGCTAAAACAAAACTAAACAAAAGAAAATAAATTAAGTAAAGCAAAACAATATCAAAGTGAAACCAAACTGAACGACGATCAAAAACAAAGAATCCAACCCAAAAACAAATTTGATCAAAATATTAAATTCTGTTCATTCTGGGAGCTCAGCATGTTTCAGCTCATGTATATTTTCTAAGAATTAGTTAAAGGAGTGTCCAACAGTTTATCAAAGACACGAGACTGCGCAGGACTGTAAATTGCAGCTTGTGTGAAATCATAATGCTGCATTGTACGGGAGCATCCTGTGTGCATGTAAATAAAAACATGTATGCTTATTTAAACATGTTCTGCTGGTTGGCAAGCCTTAATTAGAGAACTGACAGAACAGCAGCAATGAGCTGCAGACACTAAATCATATTCATAAGTCTTGCTGCAAACGTTATGTAATTCATGAAAAAGTATGAGGAAGAACAAACCTGAAAGTGAGCAATGATATGTACACATTAGACAGGATATCAATCTGAAATGCAAAATTCAGATAAAAATCAGAATTTTTGGCAGACAAATTCCAGTTAAGCTCTGAGAAAACGTCTTGACTTACCTGATTCGTGCTCAGTAAATCATTGACCCCCATTGTTTTTATCCAAAAGTCACACACAGCTCATGTTCACTTACTGTGTCTGCATTACTCTGTCAAAACGTTATACGTCGTCACAAGACACCTTTATAAATATCAATGCCTCCTTATCACGTGTTTCTGTACTGACTCCACCTGCTCAGAGTGTGGATGTGTGTGTGTGGGTGTGTGTGTGTGTGTGTGTGTGTTTGGCTTTATTTACTTTGTTGCCATGATTCTGACATATAATAAATTCAATTCAGTTTATTTATATATTATCAGGTCACAACAGAAGTCACCTCAGGGCACTAAACAGAAACACTAGCAGGTGCTGGTCATAAAATTAGAATATCATGAAAAAGTTGATTTATTTCAGTAATTCCATTCAAAAAGTGCAACTTGTATATTATATTAATTCATTACACACAAACTGATATATTTCAAATGTTTATTTATTTTAATGTTGATGATTATAACTGACAACTGAAATCTGCATCTCCATAAAGTTGGTTAGGGTGGGAGATTCGCAAAGAGTGGACTGCAGCTGGAGTCAGTGCTTCAAGAACCACCATGCACAGACGTATGCAAGACATGGGTTTCAGCTGTCACATTCTGTGTCAAGCCACTCTTGAACAAGAGACAGAGTCAGAAGCATCTCACCTGGGACTGCTGCTGAGTGGTCCAAAGTTATGTTCTCTGATGAAAGTAAATTTTGCATTTTCTTTGTAAATCAAGATCCCAGAGTCTGGAGGAAGAGAGGAGAGGCACAGTGTTGAGGTCCAGTGTCAAGTTTCCACAGTCAGTGATGGTTTGGGGTGCCACATCATCTGCTGGTGTTGGTCCACTATGTTTTCTGAGGTCAACGCAGCCGTCTACCAGGAAGTTTTAGAGCACTTCATGCTTCCTGCTGCTGACCCACATTTTGGAATTGGTTTTGTTTTATCATCCTGTCCAGGGTGCAGTTATCCCTATTGCTTGTACACTTTTTTCCTACCACATTGTTTCCTTTCCTTCACCTCTCTATTAATGTGTTTGGACACAGAGCTCTGTGAACAGCCAGCCTCTTTAGCAATGACTTTTTGTGTCCTACCCTCCTTGTGCAAGGTGTCAGTGGTCATCTTTTGGACAACTGTCAAGTCAGCAGTCTTCCCCATGATTATGTAGCCTACAGAACTAGACTGAGAGACCATTTAAAGGCCTTTGCAAGTGTTTGGAGTTAATTAGCTGATTAGAGTGTGGCACTTGGTGTCTTCAATATTGAACCTTTTCACAATATTCTAATTTTCTGAGATATTGAATTTGGGGTTTTCGTTAGTCGTCAGTTACAATAATCAACATTAAAATAAATAAACATTTGAAATATATCAGTCTGTGTGTAATGAATGAATATAATATATAAGTTTCACTTTTTGAATGAAATCACTGAAATAAATAAACTTTTTCATGATATAATTTTTTGACAAGCACCTATAAAATAAGTTGACACTATTTATCCGAGTAGCAAACTGCTTTGAATTTAACGTCATCGCAGAACTCATCAGAACTCTCATCTCATCAATAGCAGAAACATAGACACACAAACACATTAGAGTCATGTATTTATCGATGTATTAGCATGCAATTAAATGTATAAATTATACTGTAAATGCAGTACATGTCCTCTAGTAAACACTGAAATAATCAATGCATTTTCTTTTGTGTCCGCATCATCGGTAATACAGCGACATCTAGTGGTCATGAGGTCGTTAGGGTTTAATTCGTTGATAAAAGTCCCCGTAGTAACGTTTATATTGAATATTTTTTATGTAAATTTAAGAAGAAAATTCACTTTAACTCAAATGCTTGCACCTATAACATTAAATATATAGTAAACAAACGCGAAATGTAGTAACAATTGTAAAGTTGTATGTGTTCCGATTGTTTGTGTGAATAAAGTTTGTTGAAACTGATGACGCGGCGTCTTCCACGTTTACACCGGACGTGGCAGTCTGCGCTGCTTTGAAAAATACTGTAACGAGCGGTGTTCAATATTTCTCTTCGTCCTTGTTAATAGCTTTTCAGACATAATAGATTCCACCATCGTCGTTCAGCTATGGGGCTCACCATCTCGTCCATTTTTGGCCGACTTTTTGGGAAAAAGCAAATGAGGATTTTGATGGGTGAGTGAAAGTTTTGTTTGGCTAATAGGAGCTAGCATCGCTCACTGAGAAAACTAAAGTAGCACAACTGCTAAATAACGAGCTAATGTAAAACAAGGCGGTTTATTATTTGTTTTATGGAAGGAAAATCTTTTTATTCAGGCTATTTTTTAAAGTTGTATGACAGTAAAAAAAAAAAAAAACAACAACTGTATATTTGGCCTTGTACCTAAAGTAAATGTTTATATTAGCAATGTGTTGGAAAGTCTGCCACCTGACATAAGGTGACTAAATTAAATGTTAAAGATTTACAAACATTATTAAGGCAAAACTAAGAGTCATGTTTAAAAATCGTATTGAAATTAAAAGTCAATTAAAATCACTGAAGTTGTGTAGCTGTAATGCAAAATGAATTTTAGGTGTTATTTTTACCCAATTTAGTTTTTGACCTATTGTTTTGTGTGATGTACAAAAAGTTTAAACACCTCGAATTCTTTAATATTTTGCATTCAAGCAACCAGACTGTCTTTAATGTTTGGGATAATTTTGATTAGTTCTTTATGCTTATTAAGATGATAAAATAGAACTTTATCCTTTTTTTTTAATGGACTTTCAAAGCATTTAATAAGACTTTGAGTGATTTTTCACTCATTTTTGTCCAGTTCTTGCATATTGGCTGGTGTGCTTAAATAAAAAAATGGGAAGTAGATGAGTAGAAGACAAACGATGTATGTTTTATGCCTGGATGATTCATAGGTCAGAGTTAAACAAGTTAAACCTTCTTCTGAAAAAGAGCAAATAAGCAGACCAAGCCTTAAAAATCATTATGAAACTTCCAGAGGACCTGAAGTCCTCATTGATCAGGATAAGTTTAAAATAATTTTAAAAAATCTGTAATCCTGGAAGCAAAGTATAAAAAAAATGACTGACTCAACACTTTTACCCAATATTGTTTGCATATACTTATGCATTTATGCTTCGTGATGAAAATATCCCAACATAGTTACTCACTATGTAGTCATATGCTTCACTGCATTTCTCAAAATGATGACTTGTCCTTTGAAACATTTTGTGACTTACATATGTTTGTAATTTATTGGCTTTTCTTCCTACTTTTCTCAAAATATTTTTCTTAAATTATGTTTTATTAGTTGGTCTAGATGCTGCTGGAAAAACAACTATCCTGTACAAACTGAAGCTTGGTGAAATTGTGACCACTATCCCAACCATTGGTGAGAATTAATTTGAAAGTTGTGTCTCAAATGTAAATTACATTTGAGTTCTTTTAGGGTGTCATTTGTGCTTTAATGTGTCATTAATACCTCTGCCCCTTTTCTTACATCTGTGAAGGTTTCAATGTAGAGACTGTAGAATATAAAAACATCAGTTTCACTGTTTGGGACGTGGGTGGTCAGGACAAGATCAGACCTCTGTGGAGGCATTATTTCCAGAACACGCAGGTATGTGTAGTTCTTTGAGTGCTATACAACAGGTTTTTGTTTTTTTAACATAACCTCATGTTATCATGAGGCGTTGTGAAACGGTTGTAGTGATTAGTAGAAGAAAAACGGAATGAACCAAAGTTATTCATCAAATTGCTGCAGTGAGACAGCAGTAAAAGAAAATAGACAAAAGTCACAAAGCTGTTAAAGTTTTAGGTTAATTTTTGTGAACGTGCTTTAACTGAAATATTGTTTCACTTTCATGCATAGTTTTTTTTTTCTTTTTAAATTTTATTTATTTAAAACATCTTTGAACTTGGTAGCACTTATGTACAAATAAATAAGATGCAATTATATTTCTAGGATATTAATTGTAGTACAAACGCAATCCCTTGCATGCATTATAAAAATATATTCCCTCTTATTTAGGGTCTCATCTTTGTAGTGGACAGTAATGACAGAGAAAGAGTTGCAGAGTCTGCAGAGGAGCTCTCAAAGATGGTAAGTGTTTTATAACTGCAGGTTACTGTGAGCAGAGCAGATTGATTGCCACTAATGTGAGGAGTTCCATGATTTGATGATGTGAAAAATAAAAGCGTTCTAGATTAATACCTGGTCATAATGATACATTGTCTGTACTGATGAGGCTACAAACACTGCAAAAAATATGTTTGAATGTAGAAGTGCCATACCATGTGTTTAATAATGACACAAAGTGTCAAAAGTGATAATAAAGTTTGCTGCCTATGAAAATCAAACCATTAACAAAGTGAATGACTGTCTGTTGTAAAAGTGATGAGCTGTAACGTAATTTGAAATAATTTTAGCATGAACTGCTCAGAACGTTTTTAAGTTGTCAAATCTGTAACGGATGATGTCTCTGCCTGTATAGCTGGAGGAAGATGAGCTAAGAGATGCAGTTTTGCTGGTTTTTGCAAACAAACAGGACCTTCCAAACGCCCTAACAGTCAGCGAGCTTACAGACAGACTTGGCTTACACGCTCTTCGCAGCAGAACCGTAAGTAATTTGAACAGAAACACTTTGTTTGCCTAAAGTAAGGTTCAAAACCGTGATCCTCTTAGAGATGCTGGATTGCCTCCTAATTTCTGTCGGTTTTCGCAGTGGCACATTGAGTCGACGTGCGCCACCCAGGGCACTGGGCTGTATGAAGGACTGGACTGGCTATCCAGGGAGTTGTCCAAGAACTAAAGAACGACTGGCTGGACTGAAAAGTGAGACTGAACATGGCAGGACCGCAGAATCAGCACCAATGTTCACAAAAAGGATGACGCTGGTAGACTTTATAACGAAACATTTATGGGGTTTTTTCTCTGTTATCAAAACTACTACTTTATTTCTTTGTTTAGTCTGAATTTCTCTCTTTGTCCCTTTTTTTGTATTAACAATTTATGTTGAATCGTGAGAAAAAAAACACCCTTTTTGGAGATTCACTCAAGTTCTTGTAAAAAATTTGGACTTGGTCTTTTTTGAGCCTTGATTGGGGGCTATGATATAACCCCAGAGCTTAGCTGGAGAACACTTATTAGGCTTCCACAAGCTGCTAATCTCCATAGCCCCTGTGGATATTTGACTATCGCAGACATGACCCTGGTCTCTTCACTACCACGTCCTCCATCCTGTTTTTGTGAAGGACTCTGTGAGGTGGAGGAGGATTGCTGTGATTTTGTTAGTGTGAAGACATTTGGCTCCAAAAGAACCACAGACCTAGTCCCTTTTCTACAAATCTCAGCTTTTCATTCTTTATCACCTTTAAAGGGTTATTCTGTCTTGAAGATGCAGCTGTGTCTTTATGCTTTCACAAGATAAAATGATGCAATAGGCCTCTTTGTTTCCAGCTGCATGAAATGATGTTGCAGCAGACCCACACCACTGTGAGAGTTCTTTTCTGCAACTTGATTAGAAAATTGAATTGTTTCCTGTTTGAATATTTCTGAAGTTGCATTCACTTGTTGTTTGTTTGAATAAAAAAAAAAACACACAAACAAAAAAAAAACCCTGTTTTCTGTTTTTTGACTGAAAATGCTTTTATCAAAAGGAGGAAGGAAGTGTTTGTTCAGTGTTAACACGGGGCCAGCAGCATTACAAAACACCAAACTGCCTTTTTCTTTGGATCACTTGTTGAAGACGAGTTTCTTCTGTCTGGCGATTGGTGTATTAACCACTTTAACACATCAAATTCTTTGAATCTACTTTTTCATGTTAGTCTTTCAGATGCTAAAGCTGTATTCAAATATATTGTTTATGTATTAAATTTAAATAGTGCTTTAAATGAAGTCACTGAAAATCTTGTTTTGAATTTGAACATATTGCATCACACACTTCAACACTCAGCTGCCGTCTTATGTCAGGAACCGCAGCTAAAACAGGAAGTGGTGTTTTTTTGTTTTTTGTGGTAAAGGGTGCAGCCAAACCTTTGTAAAAGGCTCATAAGCTCTTTGTATCGGCCGTGAGTCGTTTTCAAACAATAAATTCAAATTTATGCTGGTTGATGTTGTACAAATCATAATCTATGGACTTAACTGGGTGTTGTAAATACCCTGAGCCAGGCTGGCTGGTTCAATCTTAAATATGCACAAAGATTATTGTTCAAGTGCTGGGATCTAATGTGACCTTTGTATAGATGATGGTAATGGGTGCAGCAAAAATACAAATTGAAATGGTTTATTCTGCTTTTCAGGAAGCATTAGTTTTTGGGCATTACAGGAAAAACTAATCTGAATGATGCTTTAACAAAATGTTTTTGATTAGTTTGGAATTTCTACATTTTCTTTTAAATCGGGCATAAAGTAATGGTGTGAAAAAACTGCCAATAAAATTACGAGAGGGTGAAATTAGGAACGTTATATGACTGAAAATGTGTATCTCACTTGCTGTGTATGAATAAGATTCAACCAGAAGATTGTACCACAGAGAGAGATCTTAAAGTAGAAAACACTTTCCTGTGTAAATCAACAGTCTGATCTTTTATTTTAGCTCAGGATTACAAAAAACACTTTACTTTGCTTGTAATTAAGATAAACACATTTTTCTAAAACTTCATGTGGTGACAAGTGAGCTCTCCTGTCTTTCAAGAAGGTCATCGGTATAAACTGATTTAAGATGGGGGAGTTGGAGTTAATTCCATCTTAATTAAAAGAACGTTCCTGTTGCTGTAGGTTGGAGAAGGATGTGTTTGGATCTGCTCCTGGACGTGAGCTGAATCACAACAGCACATGGAATTGAATACATGTTTCTTGGTTCTGATCTACGACATTCTTCTAAAGCAGAAGTGATGGATTTTACAATATTTCAATTCATTAAAGTGCATTTAAATATGTTAAGAGTTCTTAAACCCAGAGCTTAATGATGAAAGGATGAAATTACCAATTCAATTTGCTCAGCATCACAGAGTGAAATTAGGTGCAGAGCCATGGCTGCTTGCAGGTAATTAGGTCATACGCAGAGGTGAAGGAATAAGCATTATATAATTGGCTTGTTATGATGCATGAATGTCTGTTCTAATGTATTTAGGTCTGTTAATCAGGCTTAGTGGAGCTGGGTCATCACTCCAGTTAGTGCGTGCACTGGGTGGGTCTAGACAGAGAAGCACGTTTATCTGGTTTGAACAGCTTTTATTTTTATGTTCTAGACGTTTTATTGCTGGAAAGTTCTTTAAATGGGATTCAGAGATTCACGGTCCAACATAACAGCGAAGGTAAGCCACAATCCAGTGCATGTTTATTATATTTGAGTTTGATTTCAGGGGTTCCTCGTCTGTGCAGGATAATGCTGAGCTTGAACCCCCATGTACCAGTCCCCCAGCCCTCCTACTCCCAGACCAGGGAGAACCTGGTCAGAGCGATCCCACACAAACTCCTCTGTCTGCTGGTCTGTGGAGGAAAGGACTGTCGATACGAAGGACCAGAGTGCTGGAAATCAAACCAACAAGCCATTCGAGGCCTTTTCTCTTCCTGGTGGGAATACCTGATTACAGTCTCTGAGATGTTCTTGTTTCAGGTGTAGCAAAGACTTTTCGAAACGTGTAATTTACTGATCAAAACCTTCCGACTATCCCAGGGTGACTGATGATATAGTTGCAACGGCGCGACCTTCTAATCAACTCATTAAGAAGTATGACATCATTGAACAATTTCAAAGGTAATCACTTGTCTGCATTTTATTTTTGTGTGTCTGTGTAATTTGTTGCTACAAATGTTACAACTCGATATCAGAAAATAAAAATGCCTTCAGTTGCATTTATCAGATAAATTAGGCTACATTACAGTGATGTCTTCAAATAGTGGAGTTAAAGATAAAAATAAAAAAAATCACATCTTTTTTCAGGTTAAAGATCAGGTCAATCATCAACATGCAGTTCCCAGGGGAGCATGCTCACTGTGGACCTCCTCTAGAGCCTGAGAGCGGTTTCACTTACTCCCCGCAGATCTTCATGGACAATGACAGTGAGATGTTGATTCACGAGCATTTTATTTCATTTAAAGACAACCCTTTGAACCAGATCTGATTCTCATCTGTAAAACACTGAAAAAGTTGGAGTTTGTATCCGTAAGGCAGAAAGTAATTATTAAACGGATTATGTGTTTTATTACGTTTCTCTCACAGCAACCTTCAGTAAAGTTCAATCAGACACTAGTCTAATCATATCTAATTATATTTGTTTGCAGTTTACTTTTACAACTTTGCGATGCCAGATTTTGGAGTTACGTCTCTTGTTGGGATCATCGATGGAGTGAAGGTTTTGGACTTTGCAGTGAAGGAAGGACGAGTTGCCGTGCACTGCCACGCAGGCCTGGGAAGGACGGGTGGGAGTCTGCACTGAAGCTCAAAAACATATTTAGTTGTCTTTCACATACAATCCTCTTTGATGCCTGCTGTTTTATCTTACTCTTGTTTTTGGTGCTTGAAAGGCGTCCTGATAGCCTGTTACCTGATCTACAGCCTGCGCATCAGCCCCAGCGAGGCCGTCCACTACGTGCGCATTAAACGGCCTCGTTCTATCCAAACGCGGGCGCAGATAAATCAGGTGTTTGACTTTGCTCGCATGCTTGGCACGCAGCTGGTTCAGTACCCAGATCTTAACCTGCGGCACGGAGCTCCTTTCACCCTCCAGCATTATTTAAACCGACAAGCACTGCTGCTGCACGGCCAGGAGGCACGCAAACTCAGACACACACCCAAGGTCAGGACTTTGTCAGTACACTGCAGTAATGTTTTCATGATCAGACAACAAACCTCCCGCTTTGGGCTTGCTTTCCTTTTAACTAGGTGGTGTACCTGCTGTGTGTGCGCCTCTCCTGTTTGGCTCTGGGGCTGCCTTCTCCTCCGGAGGTCCACGCTGAGATGGAGAGGAGGTCAGCTCTGAGGACTCTGGGCAGAACTGTGAGGGAGACTCTCGTGTCCAAACAGTATTTACCTTTGCTGAACGAAGGCTGTAAGGGCTCATGGGCAGGTTCAGGGTCTGTGTCCTCTTGGGATGAACCTTTGGGGTCCTTGGAGAGGAAGCAGGAGGTGTTGCTGGTTAAACGCAGCTTTAGTGAATCTGATCTCAGTAAGATCATAGTGAATGAGGTGAGATTTCCCTTTTTGCATCCAGATTTACACCATTTCCATTAGATTCAGAGGGTTTTCTCACTCTGTTGCCATTTGTTCTAAAGGACCAGGAAGTGAGGTCATGCTGCACCGCTGCACTTGGGCGTGAGAAACACTGGTGTGCGCAGGATCTGTTACAAGCTGATCTGAGACCAGTTAGTCCAGTCTTCAGTTCAGTTTTACCAGTTCATCTGACAAGCAAAACAAAATACCATATACTGAAAATCCCAATGTCTGGCATGAGGTCAAGCAACAGTTGCACGAAGACGACAAAGTGTTCTGATAAACATAGCTCCAACCTGGAGGTAAATTATTTTTACTGTCGGAACAAACTGATGGCACAGAAAGTTTTGTCACCAATGTTCTAAATGTCTGACTTCTGTCACATAAAGTTGCACAGAAATCCACATAATTGTGGACCAACCTCGATGGCCCGTCTTGTTGCCAAAGCTCTGGCAGAACAAGGTTCTCCAGGAGAAACCTTTCTGCAGAGGTCAGCACTGCTGCAGGTACAAAACAATTGCCAGCTGCCTAATTTGTATGGTTTTGATTAAATTGAATTTACAATGAACCTCATCTTTTCAAAAGGAGGAACTGAACAGTAGTGACTGTGGCTGGTCGCTGCTGGTCACCGAGTCAGACCCTCACGTCCTCTCTTGTCTCTTGTGGACCTGGCTGGAGAAGTTAAAGGTAAAGGTGACATCAAACAGACTCTAATAAATGAAAATGTAGCCCAGACTATAGCGTACACTAGTGGCGTAGTCTACATTTTGTAGTGGATATACTGTGCTTCAAAACCAAAGCTCACCAGTTAGTACAAAGTAATCGTTAATTCATTTTGATTTTTAAGCATATATAACATTTCCAAATTTCTCTGATGCTTATATTTGAATAAATGTACAACAAACTTTGTACAACCGTTGGCTTTGTATTAAAAATAAAATTGATAAAACTGCATCAAAGCAAAACATGTTAAAGTATTAAGTAATAAGTTCAGAAGTATTAATTATATAATAATTTGCTGGATAAGTGAATGTAATAAACAAGCGCTGCATACAGACAGATTGTTACGGAAGTGTTTAACTGCCGTTTGACGTATCAATGACACATGCCCAATGATATGTCATGTATTATTGGGCACTTTTAAGTGGGTATACTGAAATTCTCAAGTTTTTCTGGTGGATATACTCTGTATGCCCACGTATCACGTAGACTACACCACTGGAGTACACCCACCTAATTAAAAATGCATATAGAGTAGTCCCTCGCTACTTCACGGTTCGTTTATTGAGGACTTGCTCTATCGCGGTTTTTCATAATAAGATTGGACATGGCACACAATTGGCTGATTGATGGATGAGCCGCACGATCGGCATGGAATTTTTTATTTAAAATAAATTATTTTAAATGATTTAGCACCTGCTGCACCTTTGTACAGCCCAGAGCTGCACAAAAAGCTTCCTGCTGCAGCTGATCAACTGTTCTCTGAGAAATGGGCGTGGCCAAGAGTGCTGGCTGAGAGCCAATGAGGCTGAAATCATGACATTCTGTGCTCATTTTGAGTGTTTAGAAACATTGTTTAGAATATCCTGATGCATGCTCAATAATCCAGGTAGAAAAATCTAAAAAAGTTAAATCTGGTCCTCTGGACATTCAACAAAACAAAACAAAGCAAATCAATAAAAAAATGTAGAAACGTTTCGTCTCTCATCAGAGAGACTTCCTCAGTCTGAGGAGCTGTATTCAGCTCAGTCTCTTAAATAGCACCGTCTCAGGGTGGATCAACCAGTTTTGCTGCTGACAACCAAACGTTTCAAACCATTTCTCAGAGAACAGCTGATCAGCTGCAGCAGGAAGCTTTTTGTGCAGCTCTGGGCTGTACAAAGGTGCAGCAGGTGCTAAATCATTTAAAATAATTTATTTTAAATAAAAAATTCCATGCCGAGACGTTTATTTTCTAAACATAACGTCCCAGTGGCTTTTAAACCCCAAAATACATTACGGCAGAGACTGGTTCATCCCAAAGATCCAGTCCCCCGGCACAAACAGAGCAATGTTGTGTATGCTGTTCAGTGTCAGGAGGGCTGTGATCAGTCTTACATTGGGGAAACTTAACAGCCACTGGCCAAAAGGATGGCCCAGCACAGAAGATCAACATCATCAGGCCAGGACTCTGCGGTCTACACTCATCTCCAGGCCAGCGGTCACTCTTTCAAGGATGAAGATGTTCACATCCTGGATAGAGAGGAACAATGGTTTGAGAGAGGAGTAAAGGAGGCCATCTTTGTGAAAAGAAACCGTCCATCATTAAACAGGGGTGGAGGCCTCCGGGTTCAACTGTCCCCCTCTTACAATGCTGTGATTGCTAGTATCACTCAGCCCTCTGTGAATAGTACACAGCCATCAGTGTGCTAATGACCCATTGTTATGCTGATGGTCCTTCTTGAGCATGTGATCAGCTGGTTTTGGTTGTCAGCAGCAAAACTGGTTGATCCACCCTGAGAAGGTGCTATTTAAGAGACTGAGCTGAATACAGCACCTCAGACTGAGGAAGTCTCTCAGATGAGAGACGAAACGTTTCTACATTTTTTTGTTGATTTGCTTTGTTTTGTTTTTTTGAATGTCCAGAGGACCAGATTTAACTTTTTTAGATTGTTTAGAATATTGCAAGAATGTGGAAAGGGTTTAAAATACCAAACTACTACTTACTACTTGTACTATTCCTACTTTGCGGTTTTTCACTTATCGCGGGTCTTCAGGCTACTGATCCCCCGGATAAACGAGGGACTACTGGATATTTAATTAAACTCCTTTTACTTTCACAAATGTTTTCTCTGTGTCATCCAGGACCCTGTTCTGAGTAGTGACGATGTAGAAAGGTTGAATCTCGGAGGTAGTGACAGGAAGCCTCTCAGTGTGCTTAAAAGGGTAAAGTAACCGCTGATGGAAACATTCATAGTTCTTGATAAGAACTGTCATATCTTCAGTAAAGATTCACCGTGTTGTGTCCACCATCAGTCACAGAGACACACCATCTACTGTCTGCTGAGTTGTGTGAGCACAGTCACCAGGCTGTGTCCTCATAGAGAGGATGTAGTGCTCCTACGGCTGATGTGTGCACTCACAAGGGTAAGACAGTGGAAGTTAAGTGTCTTTTCTCCTCTAATAGAAATACTTTGTCAAATGTATGCATCATTTTTACCTAACAGTTCCCTCTAGAGGAAACAGGAAGCCTTGCACCTTTGATGGAAGTCCTGAAAGTCAGTTTGAGAGAAACCTTCAACAACAGACACCTCACAAGGACCGGCCGTGTCAACCCTACACTGTGAAGAGCTGGTGCTGCGTTTCACACGAGTGCGTGAAAGTGGGCAGAAGAAGCAGGATACACGTCCCTTCCTCCCGTCCTTGAAGACATTTTGGGAACTCGTATCACAAAAAGCATGTAGAAAATGTGTGAATAAAAACAGAAAGTCTGAATTCCATTCATTTGCTTCCATTGCATCTTGACACTGCCAGGAATGAAAGAGAAACGTATCTGAACCAGAAACTATGAGCTAGAGCTTTTTCAGAAATTAGAAAATAAAAATTCTGCCATTCAGGACAAGTCTTATGCTTTTGAAGCCCAAGACATGATTTCTCTGCCGATTCTCCAACCCCACAATATATGTGGATTCACCTCCCGTGTGCCTGTTTAGATGTAGCAAAAATAAAATCAATCATCAACTAAGACATCGGCAAATATTAAACCTCTCCTTCTGTTGTGACTTTCATCTGTGCCACATTAATTTGCTGCTGAACACTTCACAACCTCCCAACAAACAAGATAAGAGCAGTTTTAATAGATGTGAAAGGGCTTTTCAACGTTGTTGTGTTAAATACTTATATTTTGATATGTTCTGAAGTAAGGTTGGGTCATCTGAGTTCAAAATGATGTATGATGATCCTTTCTAAAGTTTTATTCTTGTTAGATGGATTTTAAAAGTGCAGTTAAAATTCAAGAGCTTTAAAAAAAAAATACAGAACAGAATATATAATGTGGAATCCGGACTGTGCACTGAAACCTAATAATAGCATAAATATGATATTACCTGTAACACATTTTGGTTAATAATTGCTTTGAGTAATGAACTACGATACCTTTGACCTAGCCAGTTAAACCCAAACAGTGTTTGGTTACAGCCTTTCATCCCTAATAAATCATTTACGAGATCTGCATTATGCTTTTATTTTTTACATTTCAAGGATTCAGGCACAGTTTTAGAAGAAGAAAAAAATCCTATTCAACTTACTGGGCATGCCTGTGGGAGAGTTATCTCCATGACAACATTGTCATAGTGACATTGATGGGTGCTGAACAGTCTGTGTTTGGGTTCACTTGCTGAGTTCTGAACACAAAGCCCGAGACGAACACCGGCAGCTGGACGGGGAACTTTGTGAGGTAAAACAATCCCTCTCTTGTTTAAGAGTGAAACTAAAGTGAAAGCAGGCAGAGCTGGATAAGGTTTGTGCACACTTTATGTACATCCTGATGTTATATTGACGAGCATCAGGTGTTTGATGAGTTTACTGATTTTCTGGGTGGGTATAGGATTGAAAGAAAATGTATGAGCATACACGAAGTGCAGCTCTACTAAAGCAGGCGAGCCGTTTCTAAAATTTAACAATAAAATAAATGAAAGATTGTATATTCATAATTGCGCTAAAGCTTAATACTTGTACTTTCTTTTCTACAACAACATATCTCAAGGGGAAATGGTTTTTCAGACCATGCTTTTCAATGCATGTTTAAGAACACAGACTGGTCAAGAACACCCAAGTTTTACAGATTTAACAAAACAAATGAGCCTAAAGATCTCATTTGACTTTTGGTCTAAGGAATCCAACTGTCAGAGACAAAGATTTTACATTTATCCACTAAATTTGCCCAGGTTAAATAGCACAAATATTTCATAGCAATCGGTTGAGAGTTATCAGAAAGTGGGTGAAAATGGACATTTTTCTAACTTAGAAACTTCAAAGTAACAGTGGTGCTGAATATCATCAACATAAATGTTAACTAACGCCACTGAAATTAATAATAACGTGTGGTACAGGTACTTAACAAGACCATAAATTATCCCAGAACAGAGCCATGAGGGATTCCATATGCAACTTTAATTTCATTTCAGTTCAATTCAGTTTATTTATACAGCGCCAAGTCACAACAGAAGTCATCTCAGGGCACTGAACAGAAACGTTCATATATATATATAAGGTACGTTAATAACATTAATTATCTAAGGAGCATAATGACTGTACTGTTTAATTATTAATGATTAATTACTGTAAAACTGTTTTTTGATACTTATACTGGGAAAGTTTTTAGCACATAAAGTATAAATAGTAAAATTATGAAGAAGCATATTCTACAGGACAGGCAGCACGGTGGTGCAATTGGTAAAGCTGCTGCCTCTCAGCGAGGAGGACACCAGTTCAAATCCCGGCCGGGGGCCTTTCTGGGTGGAGTTCGCATGTTGTCTTCCTGCATGCGTGGACCAAAACATGCATGTTGGGTTGATTGGTAACTCTAAATTGAGTGAGAAAGTGAATGGTTGTTTGTCTCGTTTGTCTCTATGTGTCCCTGTGATGGACTGGAGACCAGTCCAGGGTGTCCCCTGCCTCTCACATAGTGATGGCTGGACATGGGCACCGGTGACCCCCACGACTCAAAAAGGAAGAAGCGGGTAAAGATAACGGATGGATGAATATTCTACAGGCTTTAAAATAATTCTAATAGCAAAATCTATTTAATGCATGGCTCATAATGAATTATGTTGTTTTGCTGCACTGAACCTGAGGCAATATTTTTACATTATAAACTTAAAGTATCTTGCATAATTTTTTTAAACAATATTTGGTTCCAATGTATAGTAAAATAACTGTAGCAATTTACTCTCACAATTTTGTCCGTTACTCTTTTTTTATTTCCCTTAAAAGCCAATTCCTCCGTTGCTGCAATGTCGATTGATGAACCTTGGGTTGGAACCTGGAGACCCCACAAGCCAAGAGGGCCTATAGCTGCTCTCTATGGTAGCCCAGGGCCTAAATACGCACTGCCTGCACTTATAGGTACCAAACGTAACTTTTTTTAAAAACCAGAAACATTTATCAGATGTGATAAATGACATAGCTTGCTTTTTCTCTGTAAAGGTATTTCCCAACATGACCCCACAAAATTCAAAGCCCCAGTTTTCTCCTTCGGTGCACGGCACAAGGAAGCAAATACAAACTGCTCCCCTGGACCGAGATACCTAATCCCCTCCAACATCACAAGAAAAGGACGAAGTGGCGCACCTGCATTTTCAATCCACGGCCGCCCAAAGCAGCTCCAGTTGTTCCGAGCCCCTGGACCAGGTCAACGGAGCAAAATTTAACACATTTTATTTTGGATTCTTTGTAACAGCAGATAAAACTTGAATACTCTTGATATCATACACAGGCCGTTTACCTGTCAGCATGATCATTAGGTTATTTTATTTGGTGTCACAGGTCAGTACTCTCCAGAAGGTTCAGGAAAGATGACCTACTGCTCAGCTCCAGCTTTTTCTCTGTCTGGAAGAAGAAGAGACGGAGTTACCAACCAAACACCTGGTAACATATGAAAGGCAGAGAACTTCAGAGTTTCACCAAACTATATTATTAAAGTTTTACTGTTTCTTCTATTGCAGGCCCAGCCACCTACACTCTGCCCCCTATGCTGGGCTCTAAAAGTGCAGTCACACCTTCAGCTCCCACCTACATACTTTGTGGCCGCAGTAAAACTGGGAGCTTCCATGAGGATCTTAAAAAGGTATAGAATTAATTATTTAAACTGATTACAAAGTAGAAATCTTGTTTTATTTTGTTTGGTGTACTGGTGGTTTCCCTCCAGACTCCGAGCCCAGCTGCCTACAACGTTGTGGACCCATGTATTTATAGACAGAAACCTCCACAGTACACCATAAAAGGCCGGAATTTTGTTTCTAGCAATGCCACAGACAAACCAGGTCCAGGATCGCACTATCCTGAGCGGGTAAGAAATATCTAATTTCTAAAAAATACTCAGATAACTTTTGTTTAGCTCATCTACGGTAACTATTTTTTTCTCTACAGGTTACCTTCACGAGAGCAAAAGCTCCTAGCTTCACTTTTGGAGTTCGTCACTCACAATACATCTCACCTCTTATTGTAAATATGAATGAATAATTGCTCAATTGTCCTGAATAAAAAGAAAAACTGACATGACAAATTATCAGTCTAACCCTGGCTATTTTATTGCTCAAATTGTCACATAATTGTTCCTAAGTGGAGGTCAGGACCAAATCATTAGAAACTAAGTGATGGGGTGGGAAGATGATTTGAAGACATAAAATATATTTTAAAAATAATGGCTGATAGCTGGCAGCACGGCGGCGCAACTGGTAGAGCTGCTGCCTCTCAGCAAGCAGGTCCCTGGTTCAAACCCCGGTCCAGGGGCCTTTTGGGGTGGAGTTTGCATGTTCTCTCCGTGCATGCGTGGGTTTTCTCCGGGTGCTCCGGTTTCCTCCCACAGACCAAAAACATGCATGTTAGGCTGATTGGTAACTCTAAATTGTCCCTAGGTGTGAGTGAGAGAGTGAATGGTTGTTTGTCTCGTTTGTCTCTCTGTGGCCCTATGATGAACTTGCGACCCGTCCAGGGTGTACCCCGCCCCTCGCACAGTGATGGCTGGACATGGGCACCAACGACCCTCGTGACCCAAAATGGAATAAGCGGGTAAAGATAATGGATGGATGGATGGCTGACTGATAGCTGATTTTGTCCTTATTGTTACAAAATACAAAAAATAATCATCCTTATGTATCAAAAAAATAATACAGTTAAGAGATGTTAGTATTTTCATAAAAGGTTTAATTGGCAGTTTTATCATCTTCAACTGTGAACCTCTGGCACTTTTTATTTTGTTCAAGTTGAACAATTTAAGTAACTCAGGCCAACCAACTTTTGAAACACGTTTAGTTCAGTGTTATCCAGGTGTTCTCAAACTTTTTCATGCCATGGCCCCCCGAACAGAATTAGATTCTGGACGAGGCCTCTCTCGCAAACCTACAAACAAATCCAACATTTTTCAGTCAGGTCATCTGGACAGTTTCTTTTTTTGTGTGCTGAAACGATTCGCCTTCGATCCGGAAGGCTTCATCAGTCAAGGAAACACACAACAAAACTGATTCTTCCTCCAGCATCTTACTCCAAAATTGAACAAACCAGTTCTGCTTGTGATAAGATGGTCTCTTTGGTATGCCCCCCTCCTCCATTGCCGGCCCTCTTCCTTGAAAACAACAAAGTCCATGCTCAATAATCCAGGTATACAATCCAACATTTTTCAGTCAAATGAAGCCTGAATGAAGCCAAATGACCGAAGGCGAAACGTTTCAGCACAAAAAAAAAAAAGAAAGAAACTGTCCAGATGACCTGACTGAAAAATGTTGGATTTTATACCTGGATTATTGAGCATGGACTTTGTTGTCTACAAACAAATGTTACAAAATATGTAAAGAAACATCAACTTTTAGAATGTTTTAAGTTTTATTCACTATATTCAATTAATTATTACAGCTGCTGAGCATAAAAATGTTATTAACTAACATGATGTAAACATATTCCCACTAAAAAACCAAAAACTTTTCAACAAACTGTTGACCAGAAGAACACAACAAAAGAAATCTAACCTCTCTCTCAAGCGTGTTTATCTGGAAATGACAGATACAGATTGTCCTAGTGGGCAATTTTTATTATTATTATTACTAAGTTTTTATTTTTGATTTTTTAATCTTCTTCTGTCCCGCTTTTTGCCCACCCCCCACCCCCCAGAGCCCCCTGGCGACCCCACCGGGGGCCGCGGCCCCCACTTTGGAAAACTGTTAGGCAACTGAACTCAGAATTCAGAATTTACTAAATAATGCTAGGATTGATGGAATTATTTTGTAAAAAAAAAAAAGAAAAAAAAAGTAAAAGTTTAATAAATAAAACAATTCAACACAAACGTTAATGCAATTTTATTCCCAGTTAAATAAACGTGAAAATAATTTAAAAACAAACCCATAATATTGGCTTGCAGTTGTAAAACAATAAATAGATATGCAAAGAATTACACTAAATCACTAGCACATTTTTGACTGTATTAACATTATTACTTACTGTTTTTCTGAGTGGCCTACTTCCACTAAACTGACTTATGTTCCCCTATGAACAAATGTATTTACAGACAGGCACTTGATAAGACAGCATGATCCCAGCAGAGGTCCTGTTAGCGTCCCTGTTGCATAGAAACCGAATCGTTTTTAATGTCGTGCGTAGAAAATCTTTTACTGTTCGAGCTCAAGTTCATTTGTTATTTTACTCAAGACAGGGCAGGATACATCTGAAAATTAGGCACATTACCTGATGTTTAAACGTGTATTCAATCCTAATTCCGTTACCGGTTTTAGTGGGTCCTACCGTCCGTTTTTACCTCCGTCAGTTGTTGCTGCGGGGTGACGCGCGAAAAGTAACAAGTAAAAAAAACTCTTAGCAGCAGACTATAACATGTAACCAGTGACGTTTGCTGTTCTGCATTTGGTTTAAATGATGACCAAGTTTATTGGACTGGGTGAGCGCTGACACAGCTTTTTGGTAAGTGTTTAAAAACGGTTTACGTCGTAATGTTAACGCCAGCTAACCGGTGGGCAGAAGCTAGCTAACGCTTGCGTTGCTAGCTCACCGATACAGACTTGGTTCGAAGCTTTAAAAGATCCTTCTCGGGTGTTTATACAAACTAAAAACAAAGGAGCACAGGGAAATCAAATGGCTAACGACGTCGAGAGCATTCCTGAACTGGACCAAAAGAAATACGACGCTGATGAACAAGTTAAGATCATCTGTCTGGGAGACAGTGCAGTTGGTAAATCCAAGTGAGTAATAAACTGCATTCAATTAGCCTTTGGTTTCCTGCTGTCATGACAAGCTTTCTCTCTTTCTCTCATAGGCTGATGGAGAGGTTCCTTGTGGATGAATAGTATCCTTCACCAGCTATATATAAACAATTTAAACAACATAGATGATCTCGTTTTGGTCTAGATAATTGAAGATCTTTAACACTTCCTGCAGCCGTCCTCAGCAGCTGTCAACCTACGCTTTGACTCTCTACAAACACACGACTACTATTGGAAACAAGACCATAGTGGTTGGTCAGTGTTTGCTCGTGCTTTGTCTTTAGTGAGCAGAATTAATAGTTTTAAACAACCGAAGATCATCTGTGAAAAGACAAGTCGCATTGCTTTTAAAAGAATGGCTTTTGTTTGTGATCCACAGATTTCTGGGACACTGCTGGTCAGGAGAGGTTTCAGAGCATGCATCCTTCATACTACCACAAAGCACATGCTTGCATCATGGTAAGATGCACGCTTGGCTTTAATGAAGACTCCTGCGTGTTATTTGATTACTTCTGTTTTGCAGGGATGTAAAATGAGAAGGTTTAATCAATAAAAGTACATTTTCACATTATATCTTAGTTGAACTAAGATGAATATAATGATTTGTTAACTGGGAAGAAAATGTTGTGTTGGATGACTGCATTATCTCAGTGGTTGTACTCTCAGTAATCATTTTTACACTCTTTTTTTTTTCTTCCTAGGTGTTTGATGTTCAAAGGAAGATCACATATAAGAATTTAGCCAGTTGGCATAAGGAGCTGAGGGAGTACCGACCAGAAATACCCTGTTGTGTGGTTGCCAACAAAATTGATGGCGAGTCTGATTCTGACACAAAATATCATTATCAATAATTAATATTTCATTAGGACGCCATGCTGCAGCATATGTAACGTGTTGTTATATTACATGCAGATAAACTTCTTGTTCATGCCTTGATTAATCAAATGGTCACATTTTGCATGTTTTTACCAACAGCTGATTTCAAAGTGACACACAGAAGTTTCAACTTTGCAAAGAAACACGGGCTTCCGTTTTACTTTGTCTCTGCCGCTGATGGAACAAACGTAGTTAAGGTTGGACATTATTGTTTTTTTTTATTGGGAATATTGTTAAAATATTTTAGGTGTCTGTAGCACTTTGGATTTGGGTGGAGTTTAACATTTGTAAAGCATTAGGCTGTCACAGCTCAGTACCACGTTTACAAGCCTATAGTTAAATATATAGTTTAAACAATAACTATACAATTGGAGCTTCGTGTTGACAGTTCTGATTGTAATTGACAGATGTTCAGAGACATGATAAAGATGGCCGTGGACTACAAGCAAAACCCCAGTGACTTCATGGATGAAGTAATGCAAGAATTAGAGGTACACCTTTCTCTTGCTTTAATCAATACGTTCTGGTTCTTACTCAAAATCCACATTTGATCTTTTTTTAACTTTTTGTCTTTGATGTGGAAAAGGCAGTTGGTAAATTGGTCTCTGTCCTTTCACAGAACTTTGACCTGGAGAAGAAAGAGGAGAACTCCGAGGCAGATGAGGACTGATTAAAAGCAGAGTCCAGAGTTAGATTGAAAGTATTTTTTCTTAACTCTTTAACCGTTAATAAACCTTGATTCAATTTGATGCGGTTTAGGTCTGTGTTTGACATCTCCGATTTCCCATCACTGACGCTGTCAAACAGGATTCTATGTCTTTTATGTAATTTCTGCTTACTAAATTATTGAATTGTAAATCCCCTTTTGCAAGATGGCAGACAGTTTTAAATTGAACCTAACAAAATAATTAGCTTTTGTCCCATTTATCAGGTTTATTCTTTATTTGGCCTCATCATTTATACTCCAGACTTCATATCCTTTATTATAGTAGAACATTTACTCAAGTGTGGAAAAAATTAATTAATGTAATAACAATGTGAAGCATGAAAAACTGACACAGCAAAGAGAATGTGCAATTATAAACTGTATTTCCTGCTGTTCACAGTGATTGTGTGAAGTGTTGTGTGCAGCACCAGCAGGCAGTTGCATTTGTTGGCTGCTTTACTTGCATTAATTTTATGATGTAAATTCAGTTTTTTTTAGTGCTTTATAAATGAAAGCTTAATGTACCATAAAAAGAACTGTTCTCTTGACTCCTTTCATCTGTTTGTTGAAGTGCAGCAAAGTCGACTGAACGTCAGCATCTGTCACATGAAAGTCAGAATTTTAAGTAAATGCAAAGCTATTTTGAAATGACCAGATTTTCAAAAAGTTCAAGAAAGGTTTCTTTAAAGTCAAGGTTTAAACGAGCACATACAGTTTTTATACTTTCAAAGCCAGCGCATGTTAGTAACATGGTTAGTAACTGTTAGTAACATGGTTAGTAACTGTTAGTAACATGGTTAGTAACTGCCTTTCACTCACATGAACCTTTGGAATATTTAGTAGCAGCTCAGTCTTCTGGTATTTTATGTCATTCTTACATTTTTTTTCCTAAAGGTTTCTAGATATGTGAGTTTCTGCACTGGTGTGTTAGTTCTGTGCTATTTGCTTTACATATACCATTCAACTTAAATCTCTTCAGATAGTCAACTGATATTTTTTAACGTTTTGAAATGCTCGTTTTTAGTTTTCAAGCACTCGCAGCATAACGATGAACCCACTTCTGTGTTTATAGTTCCAAGCATTTTGTTTTCCCCAATACATTTTGTCATCTTACCTTTTTTTTCTTTCCAGTTTAGCTCTTAGTGTAAATTATTCACAATAATTATTTTTAATAATGTTCAGATTAGTTTGAGGGTTTTTTATCCATATAAAACAAAATCCATGCAGTTTGTACAGTTTTGCGAAATGTGTTTTTGTGTTTGGGGCAACAGAAAAAAGACTGGTACGAGGATTATATCTGCGCAGGACGTGTCCACATGTGAAGTATACGAGTATAACTAGAACGTTCCTGGAGAAACTGACGGGGACTGCTGAGTTTTGTTCAGAGATCTCTGCGCTACAGGTCATGTGACCTCACTGTGGCAGGAAGAGGCTGTTAAGATTTCTGTCAATGCTTTTCCAATGAGATAAATGGTGTCTTTGTTTGCAAATTACGTTGCCATGGTAACTCAAAATGCCAATAAAACTAATAGCACACATCAAGATGCCGAGACAGTTATGATATAAAATTTGTGGGGGTACACATTGTCGTTCGGGCCGCATTAAAGTTAATAGATGAACAAAACCCTTTTCAGGTGGATAATAATGGGTTCAGGCAGTCCCAGTAAGACATACTGGTACTTATAAAAGTAAAAGCAGGAACGTACCTGTCAAAACAAGAGAGTTCCCGGATTTTGTTCTGGCTCAATTTAAGCCCTGGGTAAAAGTACATACAAAGTAAAGTAGAGTATCTGAATTATCTTTAATGTCTGCAGGTAAACTGGACTCTTGCTTTAGCAGCACAACAGAACAAAGTTCTCTGATATAGTTCTGATTTCAGGTTACATTACTACAAAATGAGGCTACAGGTGGTACATACACTGAACTTTCAATGTTTACTTTGCTTTATTGTAAAGTTTGACTGAAATAGGAAAACCCATTTGTTGGACCATGAGGTGTAAATATAATGTTTAGACAATGACACAAGTATTTCCTAAGTTAAGTGTTAAGTGACAATAAAACTTTAGAAAAACAGTATTAACGCAAGATGCAGTTTAAATTTGTTTAAAATATGGAAACAATTGTTTGTTTAAATTGAATTTAGTTCTGTTTATCTAATTATTTAGTAATTTTGATTACGTGTTACTTTAATGAAAATTATTTTACTGAGCAAGAAACTGCATATCTGAGGATTTTTTTGAGCTATTTGCATACAGTAAATCAAACTAAAGCATTTTCAAAGACAAAAAAAAAAAGACAATTGTTGCTTTAATTATAAATTTATTACATAATATAACAAACATATATCTCTGTGGTGGAGATATCAAGTGCAACATCTCAGGTCTGGCCTCAGTTTTTACTATCGCCCTTACTCTGTTTGAAGAAAACCAGGTAGTTATCTTGTATCTTGGTTAAAGTTTTGATGTAATGGGTCTAGAAGGAGAGATGTTGCTGAGAAGAGGAAGTTCTAGTGTGAGACGAGAGCGAGGCGTTGCAGTGATACATCCACCGTTCTAAACTTCACAGTGCAAACAAGGAAAAAACCAACAATGAAAGAAAACAAAAACCCTCGGATGATAAGATCACTGGTTCTGCTATGGCCCAACCAGCACCAGTGGGGTTTTTAAAAAGTCACACTGCTTCTTGTACACTGTGTAAATTGTGCTTTGTTGATTAAGAAATATGAAAAGATAACCCTTGCAGAACTTATTCGATCTTATGATTTGTATGTCACACACTGCTTGTTTTGACATTTCTTTCGTAGTAAACTTGCACAAGAATCCAAACACTTTTCACCACAGCATTGATTTTTTTAAAACCAGGCCAACCAACGTCTGAGTTCAGACCATACACGTTCACCGCTCTGCTCTTCTTCATGTTTATCTTGGAATAACAACCCTCCATATTCAAATCAAGCAATTGTTTTATAAATTTAAGACAAATGTTAAAGCAAATAGAAATACATAAGGCTATATGTATGTTCATATACATAAATATATAAGAAGACATACATATAGCCTGTTTCTTTACAAAATAATAAGAATGACTGTATTTCCACCTGCAGGAAGATACAGAAAGATCTAATAAATGTTTGTTGTTCTCAAGATTTCCAGGAGATGGCACCATATTGTCATATAATCTAACAGCCTAAGAGTGCTGTGACTAAGATAGTCCTAAAGCAAAGACAAATATACAGGTAAAAGTTACTTTTTGGCACATTTTTTTTTCTTTGTGTTTGTTCCTCACTGGATCATCTTATATAGCATATTGAAAACTCAGAAACTGAAGGTCTGAAAAAGGAAAAAGGAGTGCTGCCAGACAGCGTGGTGGGGAAAGAGCGCAGATGCCATTCGGTGATGGCTGTACAGAACCGTGACACAGTTCCAAGGTGAGTCCTTTTTGTTGTGACTTGCAATACAAAATGTGGTGTCATGAAAACTCTGTTCTCTCTGTCTGCTTCTCCCTCTAAATCAGAACAGTTTCCCCTCAAGACGTACCATTAGACAACGATGAGCTTCAGTCTTAAAGATTAATGTGTGTGTGGTTTTCTGTGTGTATTTGTGTAGTTGTGTGACACAGCCACTGCCGGCAATCTCTGATGGTACAAGTAAGGCTATAGTGGACTAACACCAAAAATGTAAACCTCGAAGATTACTCATTTGCTTGTTGTCACATGCATTCTTATCACCTCACTTCCAAACACACACACACACACACACACACACACACACACACACACACACACAGTGAAGAGGAACAACCACAGAGAGAGAGAGATGTAGGGAATCCAGATGCACGCATGGACGATGGGTGGCTTTTATGTTAGCACCTTGTCACCTTGTTTTGTGCAAATCATCCCCTAGTTCATAGTTCAGAGTTCAAAAGTTCAAGAGTTCATAGAAAGAATAAAATCTGCTCACCTTTTTCACAGGTGGTTAACTATGCATATATGCCAAACATTCATATATAGATCTATATACTTTTAATTTTCAAAAATTTATATGAAATCTATTATATATACATTGCTTGTGATTAAAAAAGCAAATATTTGTAGTTATATTTATAGTTCTTTTTTTTATACAAGTGTAGGTATGTTCAGAATGGGCAGGATATTTTTTTGTCTTCCCACCTGTCACGCTAAAATTCAAATGATTTAAATATGTTTCACACGCTACAAAATCTACCTACAGTGGCCGAGGATCAATTATCAACAGAAAAGAAATACAGCAGAAGGTTCACATAAATCTGAGGATCTAACACTGGAGACAAAGTAAGAGTGAGGTCACAGTGAGGCAGTGAGTGCTATTCCTACAACTCAACATACGTATAATGATTTGACGCTCTGCCTGCTTTTCAAAACGACTAAAAGAAGCATATAAAAGAACTATAAGGAAAAGTGCACGAACGTTGCCAAATGAAAGTGCCTCGGCTGAAGGCTGCCAATGAGCAGAGGTAAAATGGACACGTCCTCAGTCAGAAATGCTGAAATGCTTTTTCCCCCTGCAGCATTAATAAAACTCACTGGTTCTCATTGCCAGCTTTAATTTACATTTAATTTCATGAGTACAATTATAAATTTGTAGTGTTGAAGGAGAACTCAGTTTTGTTTTGTCTAAAAACCCAGATCTTTTTAAGATTTCTGGCTTCCATTGTTTCTGATGTGCCAGTTTGTCACTCAGTAAGACGGTAGTGGCGATAAAGAGAAAAAGCTACACTGTCAAGTTGTAAAATACAGATAAAAAAAAAAAAAGACAGTTCAGATTATTTCAAGTTGGGCTCTGTGGAAACAACTATGAACAACTGGCATTTTAACTGTAGTTAATAACTTTTTGAACAACGTCAGTCTGGAGACAAAGCTTTCACCGGATCGATGAGCTAACTGTCTGAGCGAGGCTAAGAGCAAAGTGCAGCGCTTTCATTTAAAACAACTTTCATGTTCATGCAAACACTGCTGCACAAACATTTACATTATTGTCCATTTCATAC